TTACTGTATTTGAACATTTCTTTAATACGTTGTGGACTGCACCAAAATTCATAGGAGAACATTGTCGGTGAAACCTGACCAATTGAAGCAAGGCGACATGGATATTGTAAAAAATGGCTATGGGTGCCATCATGCCATTTGTTGAACGTGACACGTAGTTATCACGGTTCAAATACATGTTCAAATTCTCCCTACATCTGATAAATTTGCAGTACCACTAAGTTATCATACAAAAACATGGATACATTTATCAATAAATCGAGCAACAGACATTTGGACTTGACCTTTGACTTTTACTTATCTACTAAACACTAAACCAACCTTCCTTCTTACACAGCATCCTTTGTACATATTTCTATAATATTGAATTCTACGTCAATAAATAAATACTAAGAGTGGAACAAACGAGAGGATGTTTCTTCATTATCTTCATCATCATCAACGGCCCTTTGTACTTCCCCACTGCAGGTTTTCAGGCCTACCTTATGGATGGTTAAGGAAGATGAGCCATGACATTTTTACGCTTGCCCAATGCGGATTGGTTGGCATCAACGACTGCAAATACAGCCGGGACCAAGGGCCTAACGTGCCTTCCGAAGCACTGAGTAGCTCGAGATAATCTTTTTTTGGTCAACCATCCAATGCGAAAGTTGCTTAACAATAACATTTGCGGACTGTGGCGCTTATCCACTACGCCACCGACCTACTCTTTTTCTTCAATTATATATGCCAAATGATGTATAATGTAAAGTGTAAATAGTGTGACATAGATATTATTGGTTAGGAATTGTAGCTTTATTTGTTCTTTTATGATACTGCCATTTGAATGCTCTGTATATCTTCACCGGTTTGACTGGTAGAGAATGCCTTTTTGACATTAAGTCCGGGGTTTTGCTATTTTATAGGCAAAAAGATTAAATAAATATATTACGATATGTTTTCCGACTAAAATAAATTAATCAATAGTAATATAAAAAGGTAAAGTTTATAACTTTGTATTTATATTGCTTGGAGTAATCTTCGAAAATACTGGTCCGATCATAAAAAACATTTCACCAACTACCTGTGTCGTACGCGGGTGACATAGAATATTTTTTTTTTCAAGTGAAGTAGCGGTAAAACAGCTTGTTAAATATGTAGAAGAAATATCAACAGGTAATTTCAAATAATAAGGCCAGGTAAATAAAGCATCACTTTTATAATAGCTTTGTACGCTTCTGATAGCCAAGACATTTATCAACAAGACTGAGCTCCAGTCTAGAATTTCGTGCTCTTCAATAGGTACACAAAAAAAATCTTACAAGCATTTCTCGAACCGTACGGAATACGACTATCGCCAATTTCCTTGATTGCATACACCCACACTTTTACTTTGTCAACCTGTAGCAAAACGACTGGGAATCGATTCTGGTTTAACGTAACTCGTCTACGAGTTATATGTCAATAAGCCGAGCACAGTTTGATAGTAGACCTCATTATGTATACTATTTTCATACTCATCGAGACTATCACACTCTTGTCTCAAGAAAAGTGTAGAGAAATAGCTTTTTCGAGTTCATTATTACAGTTATACATTGCTAATTAGTAATCATCATCAAAATTATTATTTTATTTTTAAAGATTTTATCATACTCTACCATACCAACTTCTGGATCGGCCGTCATCTCAATATTCACCATCTTTCACTTCTTAATTTTTTCAGTCGCCGTCTCCTTAAATTCCTCAAATATCTATACAATTATTTACGGTAAAATAAATATTAGACAAAACCGAAGAGGGAGGAAAATTCGGAAAATTTCAAATTGCATTTATAATTTTGGTGAAGATTATCTATGCACCAGAGGCACCAGAGGTGTCAGCTCCGTTGCATCATAAATTTTGCAAAAAATGTTTTTTTTTTTTTTTGTCGTATTAGCGTTTCAGATTACAAGTTAATAATGAAATTAGCTAAAATCTCTTATTATACTATAGATTAACTAAAAACGGGAAAAATTCCACAACACCTAACACGAGACAATAAAGTTAATTTTCTAACAATGACCTGACCGGGAAACGTACCCAGGATTCTACCTCGTGTGTTCATAAGTTTGCGACAAACTGTTATTTTTTTTTACCGATTTGGAATGTTGACTTTTAGTTTGTTTTTATCGCAAATTCGTTTATATTTTCTCGTGATGGAGGGAACAAAACAATTACGTGCAACTGTTATTTCGCTATTTACTGCGGGAAAAAAACCAACGCAGATATTCCGCAAGCTGAAAAGTGTTCCTGTAAGCCGTAACTTCGTCTATTAGACAATACAGCGGTACAAAGAGACAAGTTCACTGCAAGATCGCCAAAGAAGTGGTCGGCCACGCTCTGTGAGGACGCCTGCGAACATCAAAATCATCCGAGAACGACTACGCCGAAATCCATGTCGCACTCAGAAGAAACTCTAACTCTAAGGTAAAAACTTATAGCTGTAAAAAGTTCACTTTATAAACGATCGTCTTCGTAAGTTACGACGCGAACGTTGTCCATTGCTGCTGAGGAGACATGATGCCAGGTATATTATTTTCACCGACGAAAAAATTTTTACTGTCGAAGAAAAGTTGAACCGACAAAACATTCAAGTGTACACTAAAAGTCTATAGACTATGTTAGCTAGACCATAAATGTGAGGAACGCTGAAATGTTTCGCCTGTAGAATAGGCGAAGGAATTCCATACACAATACGGCCGGACCTTGGGTAAGACTACATGTATGTATTTTGATGTAACTGTATTTTTCTTATGTTGTGTTGCTATTTGTGTTTTCACCAGATCGGATCCAGCGAAAGATCAGCGCTGATCACAAGACCAGCATATGCTGAACTGGAACCGTTTTGGGACAGAGATTTCATTTTCTATGTGATTATGTTGCTTATGTTTTTGGTTTTATCCCAAATAAATTGATTTTATTTATTTATAAAAGTAGCGAGGATATCCCAACTTATGCACGGAATGTCTCGCGCACTCATCATCCAATTAGTGTGATGGTATGATGGGGAGTTTTGTATGAAGATGTCACTTCGCTCCATTTCTGCCAACAAGGTGTCAAGATGAAAGCCAAGAATTATCAGAGAGATATTTTAGAGCCCGTGGTGAAACCCTTGTCTGATACGTTATTTCTCAATAAGGATTGGGTTTTTTCAGCAAGACTCGGCGTCATCCCATAAGACAAAAGCACCCAAGCTTGGCGGCGGAGGAGTAGCCCTCCTCGAGCCCCTATGTTAACCCGCTGGATTATTCTTTATGGCTTGAATTAGACTTCAGGGCCTGCCGAAAGTCCCACCCAAACTTGAAGTCACTGAAGCGAACCCTTGTTCGAGAAGCAAAGTAAATTCCGCTAGAAAAGATTTGTGCCGCCATTTATGACTGGCCAAATCGTCTAAGGGTCTGTATTAAAAACAAGGGCGGTAATTTTGAATAAAATAGAAATTTTAAAAATATAAGTTAATTATTAAAAAAGTTACGCAACTTTTATAATATAAGGTAGACGATAGAGATGGCAACCCCTGGAAGCTAGCATCTGAGCTACTTAGAAAGCTATTTAGAGAGTTTCCCGTGGAATAAATAGGATATGTTTTAACCACCTATTTATTGAACACCTTGGATATTCTTCCAAATATTAATTTTAAATTCTCATTCTTACATTCTCTTCATTCTTCTTACTAAACAACACAATAAAATAAAACAAGCTCTATCAATTTTTTCGTATATAATGAATAAATATTTATTTTTAGAAAACTCGTTACCGAGAATAAACTATAAAATTCGACATATTGTTGCATCATTTTCAGGTAAGCATTATTTAATATAACCGTATAGAATTTTCTGTATTAAAAGCTACGAAAATGTATGAAAAGTTACCCTTATTATCAATTTAAAAGATATGCTGTTTAATAACTTTAGCAACATGCACAATAAAACAAATGTAAATGAGAAATATCCGTCAACTTTTCTGTACATGAAAAGGAGATGCCAAAAATCCAAAATAAACTTCCACTGTACCAAATTTTATGATTCTTCGTCAGCGTGATTTCGTAAAAAGGAGTTTATGCTTTAGAGCAGTGATTCCCTAAATGGTCCAGGTGGACACCCCGGAGTCTACGAGGGATTCAACGGAGGCCTACGTACTCACCCGCGACGCCTATTTCCATCGTTAAATCTTCACATTTTGGACGAATTTTGGGAATATGGTAAAAATGTAGCAGCAGGGGGTCCACCGAAACCAATATTTTTATTAAAATAGTCTACAAGAGAAAATTGTTTGAACCTCTGCTTTAGAGTTTTCATAAATTCTAAATTATGTATAAACAATTTACCTTTCTACGTACCTACGTAACGGGAAGCAAAACGTGACTTTTATTTACATACTCTTTTCGCTAATTTGATTTGAACCACTTATTTGGTCAGTGATTATACTATGATAGCAGTTTCTATTAACATACAGATGTTTATAAATAACGATGGAACTAAAATCGCGCGTTCAACATGTGTGCAAAGAAGAGTGCATTCACCTCTACAGTTAAAAGCTTCATTCAACTTATTTTATTGTTAGCTTCTTCTTATAATCAATAGCATAATAGTGCAATAGGTCAAGTTCAACAATTTTTTTATCAATTTTATTTATAATCATGACTGATCGAGTCATTAATAGTTTTATATTGGCAACTTAGGAATATAGGGAAAGTATTTTTCTATGAGATAAATATCAATACAGCAAGGTGAGTGCCAAATTTTTGAATTGTGATCGTAACAAATTTTTTGTAGTAAACAGTAGCCTAATATCACAATAAAATAAATTATACAGCAACATCGCAGTCACCAATTCCGAAGCAATAACGCTGATGGGAACAATTTGTCAACATTTACCTAGATGCATCCTATTATTAGATGCATCGTAGCATAGATATTGTATTTATGTACACTAACAAAACATGTATACGAATTTATAAACACTGTCGAGTAATCTCTCACCTGAAGTTCCTCGTTGTATCTAGAGCGTGAGGAAGCGGATGTATTAGGCCTCTCGAGCAGCAGGAGCTGTGTGAGTACTATGACGCCGAAGACAGCGAAGAACATGACGAATATGAAGAAGCTGATGTTGGCGCGCTCTTTGGCGCGGTACGGAGCCGCGCGCGCGCGCCACTTCATCGTGCCGGCACCTCAATCGCATGAGCCCGAGACAGATACGCTCGCACGCGCGCTCACACAAAACTGGAAACGCACGACAGACCACTACACTGACATGACACTCACTGCAACATTGACATGACAGCACTCAGACGCTGGGTTGCAAGTTCAAGGCAAAGCTTTATTTACGGAACACTGATTCATGGATTCCGCAACCTGATAGACTTCGAGGTTACGGTTACACGGAACAATTACCGTTACTCTATCTTTAAGCATAAATAATTGTTATGTTACGCTATGAGTTTATGACGATTGATAAAACAGCACCCGCTTAATTAAAATAGGAAACAACATAACACGGTTAAGAAACAATATATACGCCTCATATATTTTAATTGTTGATTACGTTTATAACACATAAACAATGTATTTTACGAAAACATATAGGATTATCCACACGAATACTACTTTCCACCACGATAATAGATTTTCTGACTAGTGGCAACTCATTTAGTTTTGTACGCATGCGCGCCGCCCGCCCTCCGTTCAATGACTTGGTGCCTGCTTGTGAAATCCTTGTCCATTGAGACAATCAAGGAACTTGCCACCCTCTCACGTTACCCACAAGATACAAACTTACCATCACGCCTGGATAGTCAATGAGAAAGTAATTTACAAATCTGGTGTCCACTCGAAAGTTCCAATGGAAGTCCTTCTATATTGCCATTTTTATTACTGCTAAAAGAATAGAAAAACAATTAGGGACAGTTGCCTTTATATTTGAATGTGTATTTTGCATTTTTTTTTTATTCATTGTTCTTACGTACATATTTGAAAAGCAGTTTTTTCTCAATAGCAGAATGGTATAGTTGGTTATGGTGTATTTATTTTATATTTAATTTCTATGAGCATATATTCCAGACTACCATTCGCGTAGTTACATGCAAAAATGTAATTATCCGGACAGAAAGAGGATAATGTTGTTCGTGCTAATATTTTACCCTGTTTAATATTAGGTTAAGAACCCCGTCAAATTTCAAAAAGACTTTGAAATAATGATGAATTAAAATATAAAACAACTTTTTTTTATTTATATTAACTTTAAAAATAAAAATTTCTTAGAGACTTTTTCTTTCGGTAAATTATCAGTCCTGTTAGAGCAGTCGCCCGGATCGCAAAAAGTTATGTGTTCTAACACGGACCAAATAAAATATATGGTTCTAGCTAATACCTTCTCGGCACCGGGTGAAATTTTTAATCATATTTCACTAGTCTAAAAATTTAATATTGAATATAGCGTTGTGAACTTAAAATAGATCGACTATAAAAAACCTTTTATTATTATTGGGTATATATATTTTATATAATTATTATTTATTTTTTATTATGTTGGGAAAATAGTGTGTTAGACAAAAAAAAACTTATTTTATCTACAATAAAATAGAATTTAAAAAAATATTATTATTTCTATTTTTTCAGTCGTTTCTATTTATTACGATTTTTGAAGGCTGTTTAATTTTTAATGAATTGTTTTTATTTCTTTCTTTATTTCAATAATAGAAGTTATCGCCGATCCATATTCTTACTTATATATAATAATAAACGGACATCTCAGTCTGTATTTAAACATACTTATATTCACCGGATAAATATTTTCTGTGATCATTTCTAACTTAACCTAACCCCCTATTCTTGAAGCTTTCTTTCTTGAAATTCATTTTTATTGGGGACGCAGTGCTAACCTTACAACCTAATATTCTGGTAACAGTTCGTTTCTTATATCATTTAGTGAGTTTTCTCTTATGTTGTTCCCTAAGTTGAATATAGTTAATCAAACATATAGACACCTACTAAATGTTGCACACGTGTTTAGAAGAGCATATAAACTAACATATATTAATATTGCTCCAAATTACAACAAATATAGGGTAGGCTGGGTACGGTTGTAACAATTTTTCTTTATTTGTCCACAGCACAGCTATTACAACTGGAAACAACCACCAAAGTTTTTGAAATGAAAGTATATTTATTGGTCTTTAATTTAATATCAGTTTTATTAAAAAAAAAATTACTTAATGCACTAAATACAAAATAACAACATTTAAATAGTATTTTTAAATAATAATAATTATTAAAAGTTAATCAACAATATCTGAGGATATACAATAGTTTTTTTCTATATTAGATCAAACTCATCGCAATTATGGCATATATAATATATACTCCCATCAGTACAAGCTACGTGAGACCATTGTTTGCAGCCTCCTTGACACTGAATCCAACTCTCTCCAGACCGAATGGCAAAATACGTCCCTAGGCAAAGAAGTCAATAATACCGCTCTTGGTATTCGCTAAAAACTATTATGAGATACATAGTTAACGCCGTACATCTCTGCAGCTTGCTTTAAATAAGCCCCTAATGTAACTTCATCGTAAGTGTTTTTGTACGACAAAATGTCACTTCCACCTCCCGAAGTCTTTTTTATGCGTTTCCTATGCACCCACAATACAAAAATATTATAAAATGAATGTTACAACCGTCCCCATGAGAATCGTTACAACCGTCCCCACCCTCCCATTTTGATAATAAGTCTATCAAAAGGATGAGATAGCATAGCTTATACAAAAACTAATGAGCTTATTATAATCTTAAAAATACGACGATTACATAAGCACATTTCGTAATACGATAATTATATTAATATTTAAGCTATATCATAAAGAAATATCCCAGAAATACTTACTTTTGGTTGACAAAACACAGGGGCCTCCTTGTAAGCGTTATCACCGCGCGAAAGGTGCCTCTACATTGGCGATCGTGTCGAGACTTGTTACCCACGTGCCCTTCGCTTTTTGCCCCTCACCTACCATCATAGTTTCGATGATATTCGAGTTGTTACAACCGTACTCTGTTACAACCGTACCCAGGCTACCCTATAAATTATTTTTCCTTATAAATATTATCGTATCTTCAAAACTATTGAACCGATTTTGATGAAACTTGTGGTGTACCCTAAGTTAAAAACTAAGCAATTAAACAAAAAAATATATAAACAAAAAGAAATATAATAATTACAATTCCACGTCCAGTTTACGATATATCTATGAACAAACATACATACATACAAATATATATACACACATACATCTAGAAAATTTGGCACACCTGTCTTGAAGCCCATACAGATACAGACCAACATTATGAATATTACGCCATTCCAACAAAATTACATACATACACCTCGAATTTTGAAACCGGTTAAAAATACCTACAAGATTAATCAAAGCCTACAATTACAATAAAAAAAATAATTATGGCAAATCAGCTAATAACAATTGTGCCAAAACGGTTATGTTAAAATATATTTGGATTTAGAACATTATGCCAAATATCATAATTATTTATGTGATCCCAACGTGTCTTAATGGCGGTTCAGAAAGGGCTTGGTAAGTAGCACAGAAGAGCTCGAAATTATGAATATTGAATATTAGAGAATATCACATAAATTGCTCAGATTTGAAGATGAGTTGTTAAAACCTTCATGGAGTATCTGAGACAACGAAGGTACCACATCACCTAGACCCGTGACAATATAAAAAGTACATTTTAAACATTGATCAACCGGGAATTGGTTCCGGGAGCTCAGATGTGTTAACATCTTAAAACCAGCATGCAGTCCACTCTACACTACAGAGGTCGTCAAATTTTTTTTGTTTTCTACTTGATTCCATCCATAGAGCAGGCCTGTACCTCAGTGAGTATGAAGAAGGCGTGCAGTTCATCATCAGCCTATTAATGTAGTCAGGCCTCCCCTGTGGATGGAATGGAGTCAAATCTAATAGGAAGAATGGGCCATGACCAACCACGCGGACCCAGTAAAGATTTGTGGGTGCTACATATGTAGCCGTGACCAACGGCTTAACATGCCTTCCGAAGCACTGAGTAGCTCGAGATAATAAAGTTTTGGTCATCCATCCCAAGACCGGACATTAAGTTGCTTAACAACCGTATCGCAGACCGAGCGCGCTAACCACTGTCCCATTCAGCTCTAATTAATATCAATAGACCGATAATGATGACAAATCTCGTACTTACGTAAGTAATTATGTAAGTAATGTCAACAATATTACGTAATATTGTTGACATTTTACAAATTTTATATAATTGAAGCCTTCTAGAGATGTGTTTCAAAATTCAGAGTTATATGTATTCTACGGCTGTATGTTTGTCCACATATTTCTCACGTATTAGATATAGGGTTGGAATGATTTTCTCTGTAAACAACTTACCAACTTCATTATTGTAATAATACCAACTTCATTAATATCGGTACAGTATTTTTGGAAAAAAAGGACTGAAGGATTGAAGAAGATTTTTTCTAGATTCAGTTTTATTTTCAATTAAGTGAGATATATTTTGGAACTAAGAATTTCATGACTTTATTTCGCTTCAAACAGTATTTTGTAAAGAAATAGTCATTTAATTTTTACAGTTTCCTTTCAGTTGATAAGATCTGTAACCGTAAAAAATTCAACTTAATTAAACAAGTTGTTAGTAATTCATTTACAACTTCAAAAGAAGATATCACCATCAGCCCTTTTTACGTCCCTGCTACAGGAGATCAGGCCTCTATGCCTGTGTGGATCCTCCCAACACGATGGGTAGGGGTCCGGAGATTGCACAGTCGCGCATCTCTGGTCCCTAGTCAGGGGCAGCTGGCCGGTTCGCGCACCGGTCGGCATTGCACGCTCCTGCCTCGTCGTGGGGGTGCGTCTCGAATGTCTCTGAGGCGTACCCCCAACCCGAGCGGGACCTGCCCTTTTCAGGGCGGGCCGAAATGGGGGCGAACCGCGCATCGCCTTCCATGAGAGGGACATCGCTGAGTTTTAGTGGGTAAACTTCTGTTTCTTGTCTAGCCCCTTCGGGGGTGGGGCCACAGGAGGAGTCCCACATCACCCGTGGAGCCCGCGCAGGGTGAAGCCGGTATGCGTAAAGCATTTCTCAGCGAAAAAAAAAAAAAAGAGATCAGGCCTTCCTTATCGATGGTTAAGGGGATAGGCCATAATTCCCCACGCTGGCCCAATGCGAATTGGAGGATATTAACGATTGCAAGTGCAGCCGGAACCAA